TGGGATATGCTGGTGAGTGGGGGCGGTGCTGGCAAGTGCTGTGGGCTGGTCTGTGGAGAAGGGAGAAAGGGAAATACCAGCTGCTAAGATGAAAAGGACAACTGTTAACCAAAATTCCACCAAGCAAATTAAAGATCTAATTGGCTTTGTTCAATGATTCATGAGTCAGGCGACATCCCAGGGTATAAACAGAAAGAAACCAATGGGTTGTTAAAAAATATATATATATATGGGTGGAAGGAGGGTGGGACAAGGGAGCTATTAGCAAAAGAAGAGGATTGTTTCAGGCCCAGTCACCTTCCAGGAGGAAGGGCAGGGGTCTCCCGTGCAGAATACTTCTTCCTCCCCAAGGATGGAAAGGACCTAGGAGACAGATTACCTTGTGGGTGTTGCCCAGAAAATTCCAGACTGTCTGATTAAGACTGCATTTCTGGGGAAGGTCAAAACCACACTTAGGCCAGGTCAGGTATGAAGTCCAGGTGCGGTATCCTGGGCTTCAGGGCAAGTGACAGCAATTGGAGCCTGTGGGTTTCTCCTTAACTAGTCCCCACTTTTGATCAAACTCAGCCAGGCTAACCAAGAGATGCAATCAGAATTTAAGGTGTCAGTGTTACTCCCAGCTGCCACTCTGCAGTCCTCACAGCTTTGCTGAACCTTGATGTGGTACCCAGACGTCATGTGTTTTTGCTTCATCCTCATGACATTTTTAACTGAGCAGGACCCTACAGGGCCTTCTCAGGACAGTTCCCCTCCCCCCACCATGTCCTCCACCTGCCTCTTGTTTATAGAAAAACTTGAGCCTCCTAGGCCTTCCCCGAGTTCCAAAGAGCACATTTAATCAGAGAAGTGAGGAAATGCAGAAACAAAAGTAAACAGTCAAGCAAGACAAAATAATAGTAGTTTAGCCATTAGACAAAATAATAGTAGTTTAGCCATTAAACAAAGCCAAGGGCCTTTAGTTCCTCCTCAAGGGCTAGAGATGGTATTAAGCCAAATCCTTTAAGCTGTTTATTTTGCAGATACTGAAACCCCCACCAGGTAGAAAGAGGTTAACTGTATGCTCCCCACAGCACGTAGATCCCAGACTGATTGTACCAAGTAGGTCGATGGTGTTGACGCCTGATTACCTCACCACCAATGAATCACAAGCTGGCCACACACCCCTATGACCCTGTCCCTCACGCTGCCTTTAAAAACCTTTTCCTGAAAGCCATCTGGGAGTTTTTAAGCACTAGCTGCCTGGACTCCTTGCTTGGTGCCCTACAATAAACACCACACTGTCCTTCACCACAAGCCGGTGTCAGCAGACTGGCTTTACTGTGTGCAGACAAGCTCTCGGTGGAGGCAAACCTGATCGAAATAGTTATGAACAGATTGGAGTCTCTGGTGACAAAATCAATTTGACAAAGACAATTGGGAGGAACAGGTGAAGTTTGAGGCATTGGCAATAAAAAAGACATGAACTTTTGAACTTCTAGAGCCACACCTTTGGCCCTTTAAAAGGTTTCATTTGTGAAACAAAGACAGCTGGGTTTGTTTGGTTTTCTTTTAATGTTCCTCTTTGTCTCTGGTTACATTTAACTTGGGGAGAAGACCTAAAAAAATTCCTACCAGACTGAATAATTTCAGTTTCCCCTGCCTGCTTAAGGGAGTAACACAGCAGTTTTACAAAAAGTTTTATCAACTCTGGGAGGGGCCTGTACAGGGGCATTCAATTGATACTGAAAAACCTGTTTAGGACCTTTGAAGACTCTTTTCCAGGTGATTACAGCTGACACACTGATCTTTGGACCTACGTGTTTCGAAGTAGGCGTTGTTTTAGATGCCTTTTGTGTCTCTGACCGTTCATTAGCCTTTTGCAATGAATCTTTCAAACTATTCTGGAATTTTGAAACCTTTTGTAAGTTTATACGTACCCATTAAAATACATGTCCTCTTCTGTTCACTTATTTCAGGAACTTTACTCTCAAGTCCACATCTTAAACGAATGATCCTAACATCTCTTATAATGGCCGTTGTATTTCTAGGTTGTTTTTTAGTAAAACTTAGCCATTTTGCTAAATGTCGGCAGCTTCAAGGACTAAAGTTCTTAAACAGAAAATAAGCAGATGTGCCAGAAGGGGGGCGCCTTCCACTCTTTGGATGTAAAAGAAAGATCCTGTTCTTTTAGCTAGGCCTTGGTTCCCTCAGAAGCCAAACTAAATATCTAAGAGGGATGGGCCATGAGGTTGGAAATCATACGGTGTTTTAACAGCATACTTCACAGCATGGAAATTTCCTTTACCTATTGTCAACCTAACCTAATCCGTGACCAACTTATTCTGACGTGAGAGTCTGTAGGCTAGGTGGTGAGTGCTCTAACAACTTTTAAATGCCCAACTCGTGCCCAACAATTTTTGCTGATTTTTGGCTTCTAAGAGTTCCACTAGCAATGGCCTTGACCTCACGTGTCCATTAACATACGAGTAGTAACCCATGAACTAGAGACTAGGGAAAGGATTGAACCAGCAAACCCCAAGAATGCGGGCTGCGGACTTATCTCCCAAACAAATGGAGAACTGCAGCGGCCACCAGCACTTTGTGTGACAACACAGTCTTGAGGTTGCTTTCCTGCCTCTAGCCTGGAAGTCTGCAGCACCAGTGAACAGCTGTTTCTGTTCAGTCCAATAGCTCAAAGTAGATGTGACTGAGCATATGCTACATGCCAGGCAAATAAAGGGATATTTACTATTCAAAAAACATCAGGGAACACTGAGCAGGATTCACATCACAGCCCTTTCCCTTCTGGGCTGTGTGACCCAGTGCAAGTTCCTGCACCTCCTGAAACCTCTGTCTCATTAAAAAAAAAAAAGTGGGCACTTGCTCCCTGGCACAGCTGTTGTGACGACAAGATAAACGATGTGTTTATCGGCACAGGGTGAATGCTCGAAGCCCAGGGGCTGTCATCCAGCCAGAATATGCACCCCTTACTTTCCAGAACCCCAAGCCTGTTCCCTGGAAGGGGGCTTTGCATTGATTTCCCCAGTGAATTCCCTCTCTCCAGCCCGAGCAGACACCAGCCAAGGATCATCTCCAATGTTTGGATCATGTAGGTGACACGCTCTAGCCTCCAATGCAGGTTTCTACCTCCCACCCCCATCCCACCTCTAAATTTTAAAAATGTCGGTCATTCCAGTAAGTTTCTAGGCTGGGAGGCGGAGCAGCATTGGAGAAGTTATCACATGTGGGTTTAGGAAGTGAAGGGTTCACTGCAAAGCTTGTGCATGTTATCTTTTTTTTCAGTTGAAGTATACAGTCAGTTTACAATGTTGTGTCAATTTCTGGTGTACAGCACAATGCTTCAGTCATACAGAAACATTTGTTTTCATATTTTTCACCATGAGTTACAAGATACTGAATATAGTTCCTTATGCTACACAGTATAAATTTGTTCTATTTTATATTTATTAGTTAATATTTGCAAATCTCTGAACTCCCAGTTTATCCCTTCCCACCTCCTTCACCCCCTGGGAACCATTAGTTTGTTTTCTATGTCTGTTGAGTATGTTTTTGTTTCGTAAATAAGTTCGTTTGTCCTTTTTCAGACTTCACATGTAAGTGATGTCATATGGTATTTGTCTTTCTCTTTCTTGCTTACTTAGAATGCCAATCTCCAGGTCCATCAATGTTGCTGTTATTTTATGACATGTAACTTTTCGAATTAAGAGTTCCCTCTGGATATATGCCCAGGACTGGGATTACTGGATCATGTGGTAAGTCTATTTTGAGTTTTTTGAGGAATCTCCATACTTTTCTATAATGGCTGCCCCAGACTACATCCCCACCAGCAGTGTAGGAGGGCTCCCTTTTCTCCATATCCTCTCCCACATTTATCGTGGACTTTTTAATGATGGCCATTCTGACTGGTGTGAGGTGATACCTCATTGTAGTTTTGATTTGCATTTCTCTGATAATTGGTGATAGTGAGCATTTTTTCTGTTGAATTTTATTCTTTAACAACATCTATGATCCAATTCTAGTTTATTTTTTATGTGGTATGAGATATGGATCAAGGCTCATTTTTTCCCCATATACATAGCTAGTTTGTCTAGCACCCTTTGTTAAAAAGAATTTCATTTCCATATTTAATTGCTGTGGTGCTTTCTTGAAAATCAACTGACAAGGTAAGTGTGGGTCAATTTTGAGACTTTCTATTCTGTGTGATCTACTTGTCTATCTTTACAACGGGACCTTACTGTCCTGATTATGCTAGCATTATAGTAAGTCATGAAATCAAGATAGTGTAAATCATGTTTTTCCTTTGCAAGATTGTTTTGACTTATCTGGATTATCTGTCTTTTCATATAAACTTTAGAATCAACTTGTTAATTACCTCCACTCCCCAAAAAGTCCACTGGGATTCTGACTTGGTTTTGATGCGTACTTGGGAAATAAAATATCCCGCTAGTGTTGAGAGTACTGTTCCATAAGTGACAGGTTGCACTGACATCATTTAAATCTTCTCTCTCTTTAGTGGTTTGCTGCCTTTGTTCCATAAAATAAGTGAGCAAGGAAATTTCCAACTGTAATTGTAGGTTTATCTATTCCTACTTTCGGTTCTTTCAAGTTTTGCTTCATGTATATTGAAGCTTCATTATTAGATACATAAGAACCTAGGATGATTAGATCTTGTTGATTTGACCCCTTTATCACTAGGAAATATTCCTCTTTATCTCTGTAGTGTTTTTTACCCTTAAGTCTATTTTATCTGATGTAATATAACTATTCTGGCTTGCTTTCTTATGCTTAGAATTTACGTGGGATCTCTTTTCCATCTTTTTGCTTTTAATATACATGTCCTTTATATTTAAAGTGTTTCTTGTGAACAGCATATAGCTGGGAGTAGAAGTCAGAGTTTAGACAGAGAAGCAGAACCATTTAAAAAAATTATGTAGTTAAAAAAATTATGTAATATTTATACATACCATATATTACATTGTTATATTATATATATATATATTTCTAAGAATTTGACTACGTGCAGTCGTGGAAGCTTGTTAAGTTCTGCATCTGGTGTCAGTCTGAAGTCAGCAGGGCAGGCAGGAAGGGGAGAGGGATGTGAAGGGGGCTATGTATGGAGCAAGATCAATCTGGAACCCATGAGAGTGGAACCCCCAAGGATACAGCACACGTGGCTCTCACTGCCCCCAAGCCTCTATCTGATGTTAAGTGTGTTCTGCAACGGAAGCAGGTGCCCTTGGACACAGCTAAACATGCACCTGGGACAGAATTAGAAGTTAAAGGAGGAGATTCAGCAGTAAGAGGAGTTGCCCTGGGCCCAGCTGCTACCCCTCCCCAACAAGACAGCAATAAGGAACAACAGAGAAGCTCCAACCTCCCCAGAGAGAAAACAATACGGATGCAACTTCAGTTTCTCCTTCCAAATTGCATACAAAAGATCTGTTTGGGGAGGGAGAAATTTTCCTCTACTCTTCTAGGTTCTTTTGGCTGGTTTAGGAATTAAATTGACATGAAACAGATTAACAGGAGAAAATCAAGCAAAACTTTAAGAACACATATACATGGGAGAGACCCAGGAAAACTAACTTGCCAAAATGGTTGAAGCTCTCACCTTAATACTATCATCTCCAGCTAAAAATTAAAGAGAATGTTGAGGGTGGAGAGAGTCAGTTATCAGAAGTTACCAGGATAAGCTCAGCAAACAAAGGTAAGGTGGTTAGGCGGGTCTGTCATTGCTTTCATAGATAAGACTTTCTAGAGATTTAGTCCTTCTCCTCCTTCTGGTACAGAAGAGGGAGACATCCTTAACAAATGGAGATTTCCTTTACAGATGTAAATGTTTCTTCCCAGAGGGTAACTCCTGCTTGGTTTTCAGAGTTTTTCCCACATCTGCTGTTTCTTAGAAAATAACCAGCTTAAAATAATATGCCAAAGAGACATATTTTGGGGTGGCAAATTCTGCTCCCCTACAACTGTCTTACCCATTTAGAAGTGTACAGTTCAGTGGCATTAAGTGCATCCACACTGTTGTGCTACCAGCACCACCATCCACGGAACTTTTTTCATCTTGTAAAACAAACTCTATACCTGTTAAACATTAACTCTTCTCCTTCCCCTAACCCCTGGCAACTATCATTCTACTTTCTGTCTCCATGAATTTAACTATTCCAAGGACCTCATACACGCGGAATTACACAGTATCTCGCCTTATTTCACTTAGCATCGTGTCCTTGCAGGGGAGCAAACTTTGCCACCCCAAAATGTGTCTCTTAGGCATGAGGATTTTTTTAAGCTGGTTGTTTTTAAGAAACATACAAAGCAGAATGATGTTGCCAGGGGTTAGGGGAAGTGAGTCTCTTGTAGGCAGCAAACAGTTCAATGCTGTTTTCTTAATTCATTCAGCCAATCTTATGTCTTTTGATTGGGGAGTTTAATTTATTTACATTTAGAGCAATTACTAACAGGGAATGATTGTTGCCCTTTTTTACCTGTGCTCTGTGTACCTTAGAGCTTTTGGTCCCTCCTTTTTTCTTATACTGCCTTCTTTCTTTCATGTTTCACTGATTTTTTTTTTGTAGTGATATACTTTCATCTACTTCTCATTTCCTTTTGTGTATACTCCAGATATTTTCTTTGCAGTTACCACTGCAATTACACAAAACACGTTAAAGTCAAAAGTCTTTTAAAGTATAAACTTCAGTTACATATCAAAATACTATGTTACAGCTCCACCACCCTACCTGTATTATCGATGTCACAAATTACATCTTTATACTTTGTACAACTCATTAGCACAGATTTACAATTATTTTTTATACTTTTGTCTTTTAAATTCTATGCAAGAATTAAAAGTGGACTTATGCACCAAAATTACAATACTGGTTACTGTATTTGCCCATGTATTTCCCTTTACTGAAGAACTCTATAATACAGCTTCATGTAGCTGTTTGGTGTGCTTTCATTTCAAACTGCAGGACTCTATTAACATTTCTCACAGGGCCGTCTATTAGTCATGAACTCACTGAACATTTGTTTATATAGCAAAGTCTTAATCTCACCTTCATTTCTGAAGGACAATTCTGCAGATACTGTATCATGATTGGTACATCATCCCACTGCCTCCAGGCCTGCAAAGTTTCCGCTAAGAAACCCACTGACATAGGTAGACCTCGTTTTATCATGCTTTGCTTTACTGTACATAGCAGACATGGCAGTTTTTACAAACTGAAGGTTTGTGACAATCCTGCACTGAGCAAGTCTACTGGCACCATTTTTCCAACAGCATTTCAAATCCTCCACCAGCAAAAAGATTACAACTCATTGAAGGCTCAGGTACAGCATTTCTTAAGGTATTTACATTGTTTTTTGACATAATGCTATTGCACACTTAACAGACTACAGTACAGTGTAAACGTCACTTTTATATGAACTGGGAAACCATACCATTAATCTGACTCATTTTACTGCAGTGGTTTGGAACCAAACCCGCAAAATCTCCAAGGTGTTTTTAGAAAAGCTCACTTGTATGTGAAAAAATCACTTTTCTCCTGATGATTACCAGTCTGTCTTTGACTTTCAGAAGTTTAATTACAATGTGTCCCAGAATGAGTTTTGGGGGTGGGTATCCTAGTTGGAGTTTGTTGAGCTTCTTGAATTGTATGTCCATTTATTTCCTCAGTCTTGGGAAGTTTTCGGCCATCATTTATTCAAATAATCTCTGCCCCTTTCTCTTCTCTTTCTGGTCTCCCATAATGCATACGTTAGTCCACTCAGTCCACCTGATGATGTTCTGCAAGTCCCTCAGGCTCTCTTCAGTTTCCCCCACTTTTTGCTCCTGACTTAATGACTTCTATAACCTATCTTCATCTTTGCTGAGTCTTTCTTCTGCCTGATGAAGTCTGCTGTTGAGCCTCTGTAATGAAGTTTTTCAGTTAAAATTATTGTATTCTTTAGCTCCCAGAGTCATTTGGTTCTTTCTTAGAATTTCTATCTTTTCGTGATATTTTCAATTTGCTCACACACTGTTTTCCTGATTTTGCTTAGTTGTCTATCTGTGTTCTCTTTTATTTAGCTCACTGAACATCTTTAAGAGAGTTTTAAAATTCTCTGCCTGGAAGTTCGGAGATCTGCATTTCTTTACGGTCGGTTCTGGAGTTTGTTTTGTTCCTTTGACTGAGCCATATGTCTTTCTTTCCTTTTTTTATTTTTACTTTGGCATGTGGTAAAAACCACTGCCTCTCCTAGTCCTTATGAGTGGCTTTGTGGAGAGGAAGACCTTCAACACCGGTCCAGCTTGTGGTTCAGGGACCTCTCAAAACTTTTCTAGGGAGGTGTCTTCTCTGGCCTTATGTGTGTGTGCTTTAACTGTCTCAATTTCCAACGTGGCTTACCTGTTTTCTTCTCGGGAGCCTGTACTCCTTCTCCCCTGGCATCTGCCTGGAGAAGTGTAGATCTGTGCAGCTCTAATGCACTGCAGCATTCACGACTATTTTCTGAAGCTTCCAAATAATGTCACCATTCTCGTCAGTACCTAGTCAAGTAAAACAGAAACCAGTCCTGCAGCCAGTACCCGACAAGGTAAAATGTTGGACACACAGTCCTCGCCTGTTTCTGTCCCCAGGGAGGAGCCATGGTTACAGGAGTGTGTCCTCCTGACTGCACTGGGCTACAATGAAAGGGACACAGGCATCCCAAATGTCACAAACTTTCCTTCCCTTCGATGGAGCCTCTTCCTGGTTACATGTTGGCTTGGGTGCTGCAGTTTCTCAACTGGTCTCTAGAATTCTCACAAACATATGTCTGGTCAGTACCCTGTTGTTACCTCAGCATCTCCACTAGGGAACAAGGGCCTGGAGCTCCCCAATCTGCCATATTGGTCACATCAATCTTCTTTCTACAGGTATTTTTCCAATCATCAGTGTAACTTCAGGTTGCAACTTCAAGCAGCCGATTCCACTTTAAGTTATACTGAATTACTTATTTTGCCGTTTCTTTGAAAATATTCCACCGATCTGTTTTTGAGCCACACAAGGAAAACTGATCTTATTAAGGCGGTTTCTTATGTGGTTTGATCTTCTACTTAAAATATACCATATTTAGTCCCCAATAGTTGTTTGTGTTTTAAAATATTAAATCGCTCTTCAAATGATAATGAATCATGGCTGTGATAAAATATACAACAAAATGTGTCAGAAGTCCCCAAAAGTAATTTGTAGAGCCATGATTCTGCGCTATTTTCCATTACACTAGTATTCTTAAACATAGGGGCCATCAAAGTGATTCATACAATAATGTCACAAAAAAAGACTACCTTATTTTAAATCAGGAATTGTACATACACCTAAAAATATCTGAATACTCGCTGCTTTTGGCCACATGTATATTCAATTAAGTAATTAATAAATTTGGTGCTATTTATCCTTCTCTTTTTCTATGAAGAAGACTATTAATAAGCTTTAACATTATTCTACCTTTACTAATATACTAGGAACCATAAATTGAAAATATTTTAAAGATCAAGGCTCACCAAAAACTAAATCTAGAATAAGTCAATAAGTAATGATCCTTATTTAAGGATGACAAAAAGAACCCTTTTCCAAACACATGCTAAATATTCCCTATGCCAGTAATCTAATGTAAAAACAGATTATGTGACCCATACACTATCTGCTAAAATTATCAACTGTTAGCCTTAATATCCTAGTTCAGTTCTAACAAACAGTATTTCTCTACAGAACTTTAATACTGGAGGCCCTCCTAGTCAGCAGCTAATTCTAAAGTGAGGCTAGATATAAACAGAATAGTTGACGGAGGTGCTAAAAGAGAAATTCTAAACAAAGGTGCATTTGTTTCCCATTCCTGCCATAACAAATTATGGATTCTCACCAGCTAAAATCCAGGTGTGAGCAGAGCTGGGCTCCTTTCTGGAGACCAGGGGGCCACATGCTGCTCCTCTAGCTGCTGACTACACTCACTGTCTTGTGCTTGTAGGACTGAGATCCTTGCTGGCTGTCAGCGGAGGGTAACTCCTGGCTTCCAGAAGCAACTCCCACTCCTTGGGTGTGACCCTCTTCCTCCACCTTCAAAACCAGCAAGGATGAGCCGAGTCTCTGACCTCCTCTTCTGTCCCTTCTGTCTGGTTTGAAGCAGTCCTGTGATTAATGGACCCACCCAGATAATCCTGACTGGTTTGAAGGGTCAGCTGATCAACAACCTTAATTTACTTGTAACCTACTGACAGGTTCCAGGGATTAGGTTATGAACATCTGGGGCATTATCCTATCTAGCACAAAAGGCATTTAGAAGAAACTTTTCAGGCCAGGATGAAACTGGAAATGATATCCTAAAATGAAACCCTGGCCTGTTTAATAATTATGAAACCGTTTCTGAAAATGTTAAATCAAACAAACAACTTTAGATATCCACCCTTCAGAGTTTTAATGTATTTCTTGTGGAATACAAATGAATCTCTAATGACAATTCATACTGACTGGAAACCGTGAGTATCAATATCCAAATTAACGTCTGTAATTTAAGAAAACAGTCATTTCTCTTTGTTAATGAGAAGCCCCTTGAAAATACTTTTTATCCCTTCATGACAAAAAGCAAAATAAAATTATTTTAGTGGGATCTGAATCCTAAAATGATATGTATCAGAAATTGTTTATATCACTGATTAACTGCCTAACTCTAATATAGTTACTTTGCAATTTTTGGAGTAGGTTTTCAATTTCTGGTCTGTTTTTAAAATGAAATTTCCATCATGTTAATAAAAATGTAAGTACGAGGGGAGGGTGTAGCTCAGTGGTAGAGCGTGTGCTTAGCATGCACAAGGTCCTGCGTTCAATCCCCAGTACCTCCATTAATTATTCAAATTAACTCATTTTTCTTTTTGGGGGGGGGAGGTAATTAGGTTTAACTAAGTCTGAAATGAATCTTTTTAGAACTGACTATTGGAATGATTAATTTGCTATCAAAAATACTTTCAATATTTTTTTCTCATGTAAAATATACCACTAAATGCCTTTTTCACTGTTCATGTCCACTGAGTCATACATTTCAAACTCAAAAGCAAACCTTCACACACTTCTCCTGAATGTCATATCTCTGAGAAGCAAGTCCAAGTGCTGGTTTCTCACTGTCCACCCCAGATTCTTCGTGTTTCAACTTGCTGAGGTGATGAAATGAAATCCAGTCTATGAAGACAGTTAAGAGCTCATAAACCTTAGTCCATTAAGTGGTACCTATATGCAAAAAATTAAATCAAACTTTTACTTAAATTCACAGCCTCCTAAAACTTCAAAGGCAAGTTTTAAATTTGGCAAGTGATTACAGCATAATTTACCTTAAAAAAATATTTCACTGAAATATGTACTGAATGATAAATCTCCATATGAAAGAAATTCCAAATCAAGTATCTCCAGTTAACATTAGAAACACATTAAACGCTGACTGACAGAAGGGGAGAAAACCCATCATAAGGCGCAGGTCTTTTAGTTCCTTTATTATTATCAAAACAGAATTCTCATTAAAATTCTCTACCCAAGTTTGGTAACAGAAAAGTAAAACTGGCCTTAACTCGAGCATGAAACCACATAACTAACAAATTTTAATAAGTTTAAAGGTTTCAAAAGCTAAACCCTTTCTACCATGGAACTTCCTATCTTCTTCCCAAAAAAGTAGGTTTTCTTTACATTATAACACTATAAACAAGAGTATGGAAAAATTTTCCTGGAAATCCTATTCTCTGGAAGTCTACAAAAATGGGAGGAAAATAAGGACAAAATGCCACAAAAAATTATAAATTCAACTAGACTGATTTAGTATTCCTTCACATCACTTTGTCAATTAAATTTAACATTTATCACCTTAAGCAGGGAACTATGCTAGATTTAATTTTGGACAGAAATATAAAAGTTAATAAAAAGGCAAAATTAAGCAGATAGCTATCCACAAAAACAGAATCAGATGGATGAAAACAAAGTTACCACATTATTCAGAACAAGAGTAATTTTTAACCTCCATTTTCTTCAAATAGGAACTTTTGATGAAAACTGCCATCATCTTGAGTACCTGTGTATAAAATCTCCACTTTTTCCAATTTAATTTTTTTTAATTAAAAAAATATTTTTCACAAAAAGCATCCCCTCTAATAAAACATGGAAGGCTGTATGACAGGAAAAAGGGAGGGGGGAGTAAAATATGACCATTTGCAACCACAAAATCCTCTCTAAGTTTCTGGTGCCCCGCAGAGGGGAAAACAGGCAGGGCAGCCCCGCCTGGAGCAGAGATCATAGGGACCAGGCAGGTTAGAAGGCAGACCCTGGCCTAGAGCCCTCAGGAAAGATGTACGGTTGGTGCTGCTGCCCTGGCTGTGGTCCCCATGCTCCTCCTGGATGCAACGCAGAGGCCTGGGCCCGCCTGACACTGTGGATGTTGCTGTTCTGGTCCCAGGCCTCCACCTCCTGCTGGCAGAACTCCCGGACAGCCCGCCCCGGGACAAGTCCAGGCCCAGGACCTCTGGCTATGGAAGGTCTGCTTCCCTGACCTGCTCTAGCAGGTCCATGAAAGCTCAAGATGAGAAAGAACACCAAGTGACAGCAAAGCGGTGGAGCAACCAGAACACACTGGTATATTCCTGCTGGCAGGAATATAAATGATACAAACACTAGAAAACTGGCAATTTCCCCAAAAGTTAAACACACATCTACCTCGTGACCCAGAAATTCCAATCTCAGTTATATTTACAAGAGGAATGAAAACACATGTCCACAAAAAGCCTTTGTAAGTAAATATCCTTAGCAGCTTTGTTCATGAAGAGGCAAAAACTAGAAACAGCCCAAGTGTCTATCAACTGAAGGACGGATAAACAAGCTGCAACAGTCACACAACAGAGTACGCACAATACAATGCCACTGACTCGAGTTTTACCTAAAATAGGTAAAATTAACTCATGGCGACAGAAATCAGATCAACAACTACTTCTTGCAGGGAAGGAACATGAGGGAATTTTCCAGGTGTAGGTTACACAAGGGTAGGCATTTGTCAAAGCTGATCCAACTGTACACTTAAGGATCTGCACACAGAGTTACTGTAGGCTACTTATAGCTCCAAGTAAAAAAAAGAAGAAAGAAACCTTAGCAAAAAGAAATCAGCGGAGCTCACTCAGGGTGGACTGTAGTCCTGAGAGAAAAGTAACACTGAGAGTTTGTAGATTCCAAAACAGGATGAATAACAAAGCCATTATTAAGCTTAAGTTCCTGTGATTTGTCTGTGTTACTAGGCCTAAAACACTACTGAAATATTTTGTTTTTGCAAATAAAAGCATATTTGAAATATAGAGATATTTCTCTATAAAGGACTTATTATGGTGAATCCTTCCATACCAATGTTTGCTAAATGGGAAAAAAAAAAACCCAGAAAATTTCAATCATATCACACGATACAAGGTTCTGAAACTGGTGCTTTTTCTTGTTTGAAACTTTTCACTTTTTGAGCAGCATGGGAATTTCCTTTCAATCTCTGTATTGTCATAAACTCATACTTCCTCTGCAACAGTACATACCCATGAATTAAAGAAAAATTATATTATAAGTGAGAAACTCCAAAGGCCTTACTACTTCCTGAACTCCCATGTTAAACCTTCTAACTATGTCCCACATCTCTCTCATGAATTTTCCATTCCTTCTCCCCTCAGTGTTTCCACCTCGAGACTTTTTATGAAACTACCTTCCAGTTCACACGAATCCCATCTTCTGCTGTGCCTCGTCTGCTGTTACGACCAGTCACTGGAGTTGTGAAATACAATTAAGTGTATTCTTCGGTTTTTGAATTCCACTTTCACTTCCTTTTATAGGCTTTAGTTCTCTAAGGAAGTTCTCAATCTTTTTTCCTACTTCCTTGAGCATATTAATCATTATTTTAAAGTTACTGCCTATATTAACTCCAATATCCAGATCATCTACATATTGTCTGGGTTTTAGTCTCTTCATATTTAGACACATCGTTCTGTCTTTTAATGTGCTTATTAATTCTGTACAGATGACAAAAAAACCTTATAATTTTTTATACATACAATATCTTCTTTCAGAAAGAGCTCATCCTTTTCTCTGCCAGGTATTTAAAACACAGACAGAGCACCTTAGCCTGATTTGGAACTGAAATCAATTAAAGCCAGGTTTCAGTTTGAGGAGGGTTCAATTTACCTCTAATTGGCCTCCCCTCAGGGTGCAACCCTACTGCTCCCGACTGAGAGCCTAGGGTGCCCACTGGTCTCCCTCCCCCGATGAGTCTGGAACATTAACCCTTGTCTCCTCAGCTTGGTGAGACTTAATGGGAAATGTTTCATTAACATTAATAATAAATTATTATTAAAGCAAACTGACATATACCCAGTGCTATCACAAATTACTATGTAAGTTGGTCACAGAAATAATTTACCTTTTTATTTAACAATTTCAAAGTACATACATTCTTCATGCTAGAAGTTGGCAAACTATGGCCCACAGGCCATGTGATCACTGACTGTTTTAATAACTAAAGTCTTATTAAGAGCAAAGCACTGATCACTCCCTTGCTTGTTGCCTACAGCTGCTTTTACGCTACAATGGTAGAGTTAACTGTGACGGAGATCATATGGTCCACAGAGCCCAAAATATTTACTATCTGGTCCTTAACAACAATAAAAATTTGCTAACCCTTGAGCTACACTAAACAGAGTAACCATAAAAAAGCATTCTTCCACTGGGCAACAAAGAGTTTCTCCCAAGTTCTTTCAGTTTGGACACACTGGGGAATACACCCAATTATCAACAGGTTCAATCACTTAATGATGCATAAATCCACTTCAGTCCCCACACATGCATGCAAACACAGGTTATATTAACCTAAGAGATAGGTATGGGCAACAACGTGCCTAACCTAGCAGTTAAAGAAACACTTGTCAAAAAAGAGTGCCAGACCGAGACTGTGATGGGAAAAAGCAGTCTTCTCCAGGGATAAAGCAGGTTTCCAGACAACAGTGAGTCAAGGTCATATTCTAATTGTGGGAGGCTAACACATGAATTCAGGGATGCCAAAGAATTAGATCAAGTGAGAAATGGCGTACTTAGTCATCACTGCCAAGGAGAAAGGTTGTAACAAGCAGTGACTACAGAAAACCAAAAACAGAAACAGAGAAGAACACACAGCTAAGGAATTCCAGGAAGAATTACCTCTGAGAGTTGAAGCTTAGCTACATTTTAGAATCCATGGAATTTTCCAGCCCAACGCCTTCACTGCTAATGTGTCTAGGTTTACCCCAGTTTCTGCTCATCTACTCCTTCCTCCACACACATGATCATTCTCCTGTCCCTCTTCCACATATCCCTTCACTTTCATACCTTTCAGTCAAAAACTAGCAAAGGGAAGTAAAAATAAATTTAAAAAATATAACTCACAAAAATTTGGTGCACCTTTAGTACTAGTGAGGACCGACCTAAATAAACCATACCACTTATGTACATAATTACAGTTCCTGCGACCCCAGCCTGTACTCATGACAGAAGCTCATGCTCCTTCAAGCACAAGCTCTGCATACAACAGACACTCCAAAGTGTGATGTGTAACAGCAGTTACAAGGAGAAGCACTAAAGCTAGAAATCAGTGCCTAAACCTCCCCAGGTTAGCAGGTTTTCCTTTTCCTTGTTTTCATTCTAGTAATTGCTCTTATATTTAAAAAAAAATTTTAAGTTGCCAAACATCTCAGCTGGTGAAGAATACCTCATTTATATTTGGAAATATTTTATAATAAAGCTGACAAAGATAATCAAGATTTTCTCTAGCCAAAATATATTCTAAGATGTTCACTTATAATTTGTTACTCTATATAGTTCTAAGAATGTATTACAATCTAATACAGATAAAATAGGTCTTACCTGTTTTTTGAAGCTATCATTCAGTTCTTTCAATGCATCAAAAGAGGACCTTAACCTCTTGCTTTTTTTCTTTCTTTCCTTCTTTAAGAACTTCAGTTAAGTGCTCAACTTCTGCATCATGTCGCTAGGAGAGAAAAAATATGATCTAAAAATAAGGTACAGATTCCATGTCACTAACGCTACTGAACATAAATTATTTAAAAGTTAAAACTCCTTGAATCACAAAGACTTTAATCAGTGTGTTTAAGCATAACGACTAATATTGCAAACAATTTATAAAACTGTATAATCAAACTAATAACAAAGCATTAAATGCTTTTCTAAAATACTGATTAAAACATATTATACAAATTAATTAGAAATAAGGCTATTTTCTGCTTCTGCTCAGAAAAATTCATCACAGAAACTCACTGAAATTTCTATTTGACATCACGGAATGATGAAACAATGAAGGATTTCTGAATCTTTTTAAGAGACTAGTTAGTTATTCATAGCTTGCAGATTAAAATTTAAGGTTTAAATTATCCCTGGAGTAGAAGTATTCCATAGGTATAACTGATTTCTTCTCATAAATCAGCTAAAATTGTTTTATATCTCAAAAAACTTAAATACATAAGAAAATTTTCTAAGCCCCAAACTCTCCTTAATCAGTTTTATAAATGACTGAAATGAATTTCCCTTATTTAAATGACAGCACATTTTAGACTTAAGTATGAATACTTATATAATTTATTTCATCTTTTACTTTCAGATTTATTCATAATGTATTAAAACAAGCAAGTTTCCATAAGAAATCAAGAAGCTGAATTAATCTCCTTCTTCCAAGTAATCATACAGGCACCATTTAAATAAAACAGTTAACTTTATACTTAATATAAATAGGAGACAGACAAACTCAAAGAGGAAAAAAATCAAGACTAAAACTAGGATAGAGTGCTGAGAATCCAAGCATTCATTCTTTTGTCCTGTTTAAAAATCCAATCATGTGGGGAAAAAATCAGCTTTATGCAATCTTGTTATTACATTAAATGACCCCTTAAATAACTTAAGATATGGGTACAAATATTATAGTTATTTTAAAAATTAGATTAATATTCTCACCATACAAATTTTTCCACATTGAGAAAACATTAAAAACATATGACATAGGGGGAGGGTATAGCTCAGTGGTAAATTCTGTGCTTGGCATGCATGAAGTTGTGGGTTCAATCCCCAATACTCCATTAAAAAATTAAAATTAAAAAACAAAACAAACCACATACAACATGGGTTCCGTTTCCAGGAGGGCAGGATAAGCCCATGCACTCTAATCTTACTGATTACAACTAAGAAATCATACACAAAACACAAAAAGCAACTACCTTAGGAATGTCAAAGGGAAACAAAAGCAGGGAATTGGAGAAAGGAGGGAAAACTTAGAGAAGCAACCCTCACGGGGCTGAAGTTCCCTGGGTTTTGCTTTCCCTTTTCTCTAGCAGGCTTGCGCAGACAGGCCCCAGACACTGCTAAATGGAGAGAAACTCTGATTTTCAGGCTGGGAATCCAGGAAGAGGGGCCCCCATGAGCCAAAGAATGTGCTCAAATCCGACTCAGCCCTCAGCTGGCAAAGGGGCAGAGACAAAGGGCAGAGGCAGGAGCGCAGTTTAAAAACAGGTTCCCCCACCCCCCACA